TGAAGCCAGTCAGAACGATTACAGAACAACATTAAGACGACAAGATACTTATGAGTTACTTGCTGTTCAGAACCACTAGCAATATACTTAACCTATTATCTTGAAATCAATTACAAATTACAATAAAATATAATTTAGAGATAGGAAATGAATATTATAAAAATAATAGATATAATTTTAAAGAAGTTTACAACTGATGAAATATTAGATACCTACAGTTTAGTACTAAAATAGTTCTTATATGATTTCTAATACGTTTGGTTATTATTCTTATGAAATCATACTTTACCTGTTTCTTCTTTATCTTCTAAATTTTCTTTTTTCTGGTTTCAAAATGGGTTTTTTATGTTCTTATGGAAATGTACATAAACCATTTGATTTTCTTTTTAAGGATATCAAAACTGATTCTCTGCTAATGCACCTAATTGTTTTTATATTCAATACAGTAGCTCAGAACTAAATTTAATACTAAAATTGTATCTCAACTCAAGATGGTGTTTAGGAATTGAATTTAGTAATCTATGATTAAATGGCTATTAATCACTTTGACATATTTTAAGCATTAATCAATTCATTTGAAAACAATATACCCTTGAGCATTTCTAGTTTCTAGACCACTCATACCTTGCAATAAAAAGGTTGACAACGAAATCCATCTGTTTAATGGTTTCGGGCCAACCCAGTGTCCGAACCCACCCACATTTTCCTGATATGTGCCTTTCCCCACGTGTCCACATGTATGCCCCTCTAATCCCTGAGATTACAAAAGCCTTCCTGAGCGTCCCCACCGCAGGATGGGGCAAAACTATTACGCTTGATAAATTCGAGATTAAAGTGCATTTGCAGACGGGTCAGGATCTCTGTTAGCCGGGCCATACAATTTATGGCCATACATTTACAGGAATTCTTTCGTTTTCTTTGGCCGGATACGTTGGCAAGCCGGGAGTCCTTTTAATTATCACACGTAATGACAGCGCCAAATGCAATTGCTAATTAATTGCCATGGACCCACTCTGGTCCGATGATGTGGGGTTGGAATTTATGGCTTATACATTTGTTTGGCCCGACATTATTATTCCGACATGTGCGGTTATGGGGAGATCTAGATCCATGTAATGCAATTTCCCCTTCTTGAGGAAGTGGTTGATTCGGGGGCGTTGCTTGACAAATGAGAAAATGCTTCATTAGTGCACCACCAACGGGCTTAGGGGAGGAAAAACAATGCAGGGCCAAGGAAACACCAATAAGAAAGGTCCCCCAAAAGCAAGAATATCTCAATAAACCTGCGAATACAACGCAATTTATTTTCAGAGCCAACTTGAACTTGAGACGCGATGAACTTCGTATTCGTTTTTCAAAGCGGCTAATGACGATAATCGCTTGGTGGCTGTCAAAATTGCCGCAGAATATAATTGCCAACTGGCCATAGAGAAGCGCCCGACGTCCCATGATTAACGATGAGAGCATTATGAAAAAGCCCAAAACAAAACACAGAATGGAGAACAAAAAGCGCCAGCTCGATACAATGGAATCTCCAAGATACAACGGAAACTACAACGAAACAATCACTAAAGATGCTAGCCAACCGATTAGGTTCAATTACTGGAACAGGGGTACGGGGTTTGATCTACGCATAACGCTCAGAAGCAACAGGCCCCACCCACGAGTGCATTTGAAGCAACAGCAACAACTCACTTCGGCCCAGTCAAGATCTTATCCGCAAAGCTCTAACAAGCCGTCAACAACAGAAGCACACTTAGAGAAAATAATAAAAATGTATTATGAAATCAGAAAAATAGGATTGTAATCCTTATATGAGTTGATATGTTTTAAAGGTACATCGACAAAATCCTACGATGCATATTTATTTTCAGCCACAAATCTTTATAACTAAAGCCAATAAAAACCTCAAAGATATTTTCAAAAACAAAAACATTTATTTCCAGTTTTGATACTTTTAGTCTGTTTGTATTTTTAAAATTGATTGTAAATCTATTAGGGTTATCAAAACCAAATCAAATATTATTTATCAACCTTTTCAATCAAAATTAATCAACATTATAAAATGATTAAATCCAATTAATTATAAATTAGGCGCACATTTTTTGTTGCTGTGCAAAAACATCAACAGTAACTAAAACTTAAGTAAATTTAAAAACAAAAGCAATTTTTTTCTGCTCTCCAGCTTCGCCAGTTAATTTTAATGAATCTCCGTTGATATTTGAAATCAGCTTGGTTGTTTTGTTTTGCCTTGCTTAGTTGCTAGTCGGCGGTTTTCAAGTGTGCACACGAGACGCGCTCCATTCTACGTAGATTTGTTTTCGAGAAACTCCTAAGGAAATACCCATATACCCATTAGAGCACTTGATTCTCCGCGGCAAGATGCTGTCAACAAAGAGCTCTTTCACCGCCCACCTATTGCTATTATTTTTTGGTGGCCTGCTGCTAACTCATCACTGTGTCCAAGGTTGTTAAGAGTAATTGGTCAGCAATCAATCACGCGGCGGGCGAAAGAAGTTCCTCCATGAGTCAGCTGGATTTTTGGGGAATAGATGGGGTTTCGTGTCAGCCAATTGAAGGGAAATTCCAGTGGTTTGGAAACCACGAAATCAAACAATCTAATCAGATCGTGGGGGATGAGTTTGTAGGCAAAGCAATTAGGCTATCAAGTATTTTTTTTGCCAAATAACAAACAACCAAGCCAAAAAAAAATTTAAAAAAATGTAATTTGTAGTGTAGGTAAAGGCTGTTTAAAATTTTAAAAACAAATAAGTTAAAAGAAATTTTAATTTAGAATTAAAATAAATTTATAGTGCAAATAAACAATGCTACAAATCCTTTATTGATATTAGCTTTCGATTTTCATTAAATTTCTTAATGCAATTTTAATTAAATGTAAATTCACTTTGCCATGCTCTATTTATTTGATTTAAATCACATTTCTAAAAATCAAACCAAAAGTGCTCAATTCTCTTGAGGGATTACCACAGAATTAACTAAACAATCGATAGTAATTGGAAGCTCTGGATTGTCAGCTGGGCAAAGCCCTTGGGCCCCCGAAGACCCGCACCCCGAAGACTCGCTGACCCCTTTGCCCCCTATTTGTTAGTCTAATTGGTACTCCCCCAGCGAAATCCGATTCTGATTGAGACTAATCCCATAATTGTGGCTGTGGCCGTGCATATTCAAGTGCAACCTGAAATCGGCCAGGAGCAGCTCAAGTTTCAGATTAGTTCGGTCGGTTGGATCGCCGGAGAGCGTGGTGCATATCCATAAATAAGTCAGCGTGTGCTAATTGCATCACTTATATGCCACGGACCACCACGAACACGCTCCAATTCGTCCGATTAAAGTCCAGGATGGAGATGATGGTGGCGGAGATGGGGTCCACTTGTGTTTGCATAACTTTAATTAAATTTCTGGTAAATCTAATTTCCATGCTAAACCGAAAACAAACAACGATGATGGCGTTGGCAACCAGGTCAGGCGAGTAAAGTGTCCTCCAAGTTGGATTTCGATGAGAGCGATGGCAGCAACAATCAGACGGGCTTATCCGGTCAGTCGGGAGCTGGAAATGGTAGCTACGAACCTGGAACGGGACGAAATCTGGGTGGTGGAGGCAGTGGAGGAGGAGGAGGTTCTGGAGGGGGCACCACCACCAGCGGCAGCGGAACATCCAGCGGGGGAAATCGACCCAAGATCCATGGAGTCCGGGTCACCGTCGATACGGGCGATGGACAGCAGCAAACGAAAGGTAATTAAATTCCCTCACACCCCGGCTGCGAAATGCAAAGCACCAAAAAACTAACGAATTCGATTCCATACCCTTCGGCAACCCCGAAAATGAACCAAAATAAATACAGAGTCCAAGGAGAGCGTTGAAATTACGGATTTGGGCAAGCACAAGAAGCGTGTGGGCATCCACACGGACATCACGTTCGAAATAACCTCCGATTCGGATGGGAATGAAACAAGTTCCGCTCAGCAGCAGGGCGACAAGGGTGAGTAGCCACCGAAATCCCCTTTCGATTCACTTTCCCTGTTGCACCAATTCAAATAAGGGGTCAGAGCAGGGCCAATTAATCTTAGCTTAAAGGTTAATTTAAAATGTATTAACCTTTTATCAAAACAGAGTAGCACAAAAAAGATATACAAATAATTGGAACCAAAAGGAAGTTATCAAAAAAGTAAAGGCTATTAAATATAAAGTAAATATTAGTCTTAAGGAAAAGGCTATAGCATATAAAGAACGTGTTAGTTGGATTTTAGTTATCAGATCCACAGACTTGCATTCATTTATTATTATAGTTATAAGAGTTACTTGTTGTAATTTATACTTCTCTGACTATCAAAAGTACTACTTATTATATCCATACTTATCTGCTCAATAATAGTACCGTATTATTATTATTATATTATCATATTATAAATATTATTATTATCATATTTCCAAGCAGAGGACGCCAGTGTGCCCATTTACAAGGGTCGTGGCGGCAGCGACTCAAAGCACAAGGCCCGTAAGCCCTATGACCCGAAATCCCAGTGGAATCCCAACTTCTCCGGCGAGCAGCGTGGCTACCAGGGATCCTCCAATCGTGGTGGCTACCAGGGATCCAATCGCGGTGAATACTATCCACAGTACTATCCCGAGAACGTGTACACTGGTGGGAATTCCGATGCAGGCAGCATTTACAGGAACGGGGAGACCTGGACGCACTATGTGCCAGTTTGGACCACGGAGCGGGTGCCACAGGAACAGGGACAGATCTATAGACGACCCAGTTGGAAACCCTGCTATTGCATGTCATCCGCGGATTTCAGGCGGCGTCGGGATAGCAAAGCGGGAAGGGACCCGGTGGATCATCACAAGGGTGTAATCAACAGTGGGGTAGTACAGGTGGTGGATGGCAAACTGGAGACACCCTTCTCCTGAGGAACAGCCCTCCACCCTAATAAAATTCTTCACATTCCCTAACTTTTTAAATAAAACTATCGTTGTATTTTTTTTTAATTTGACATCATTGCTTTTACTCACAGCGGGTGACATACAAACAAATCATTTAACATTCACATTGATTTACAAAAACTTCTGGAGTTGAGTAGGCAACTCCCTAAGAACACTAAAGGTTTCTGGTTTTGGATGGAGCTCGGTGTTGCTGTTTACGAGTGAACACTGTGGGTGCCGAACTTGCCGTTATCGTCGACGGAGGCGGTGGCCGCATGGTAGCCGTACTGCTTTCCGTTGATGTTGACGTTCTCCCTCTCGCCGGTGGCCAGATCCTTGTAGTTGCTCACATGGCCATTGGAATCAAACTGAAATAGAAGGAAAGATTTAATTACTTTGAGTTCAATATTTATAATTCTTTGACTAAAAATAAAACCTATAATGGTTAACGTCCCTTCATATTAGTCAAATTTACCAATACGGATAGTTACGTATTACTTAATTAATTACTTTGAGTTCAAAAATAAGGGTATGAACATTTATAATTCTTTGACTAAAAATAAAACCTATAATGGTTAACGTCCCTTCATATTAGTTAAATTTACCAATACGGATAGTTACGTATTAGTAAAAAAGGATAACAACTATTAAAAATAGGGACGTCTATATTATTATTGCTTTGGTTCCTATTTAATAGTAACACTATCAAAAAATATTAAGTAGATGTATATTTTGACTGCTTGTTGGAAAAGTAACTATTTCGTTGGTCAAAATGACATTCGATAGGTAAGAACCTTTTATCTATTATGTTAATAAATTTTTACTGAAAGTCTTTGAAAGATTATTAAAGAATCTGATTGTTTTAAAAAATCAGAGTTCTAGAAAACATGTTTCAAGAAAATTTCCCACTTAATTTTAGAGATTTTTATAGTTAAGATTATATTTTTTATGTAAAGGCGGATCGACTCACCGAGTTCTGGGAAGACCACTTGGACTGCTTCTCCCACTCCTTGGTCTGGAAATTACTGCCAGCACCGCTGGCTCCGGCTCCGAATCCGGCTCCAAAGTTGCCCGATCCGGCCAGTTGCTGTCCGCTGGTCTGTCCAAGTCCAAGTCCAAAGTTCTGCTGGCCGCTCAACAGGGATCCACTAAGCAGGCTCTGCTGTCCGCCAACCTGTCCGCCCAGCAGAGATCCCTGGCTTCCGCCCAACAAGGAGCCACTGAGCAGGGAGCCACTGCTTCCGGCATTCAAGGCACTGGCGGAGTTCAGGGAACTGGCAGAGTTCAAGGAGCTGGCAGAGTTGAAACCAAACTGGGAACCGGAGTTGAAGGCGCTGTTGTAGCCGGAGTTGAGGCCAGCATGTGATCCTCCATTGAAGGCAGTTTGGGCGGCATTGTAACCAGATCCGGCATTGTAGCCACTTCCAGACTGCACCACATTGGCAGAGGCTGCTTGGGAGGCCGCCTGTTGGCGTGCCGTCTGATGGGTCTGGCTGAGGAGCTGGCCCAGTTGGTTGTTCGACTGGAAGCCCAATCCCGAGGAGATGCCGGAGTTCAGGGCCGAGCTCTGGCCAAAGGAGCTGCCGAACTGGGTGTTGAAGGCAGAGTTGCTGCCAAAAGTGGAGGCGGCATTCGATCCGTAGGCCAAACGGGCACTGGCGGCTGGCTGCACCAACTGGGGAACAGAGGAGGTGGTGGTCACCTTACGGCGGTAGTACTGGGCGCTCTGGATGGGAGCCTGGATCACATGCGTCTGGGTGGGTTGCTCGACAATTCGCTCCTCGTGGTGAACATAGCGCTGGGCACCACCGGGAATCGTGTAGGTCACCTGCTGGGGTGTGGTCACAATCTTCTCGTGGCTGTAGTACTCGGCGGCGGGGGAAGCAGTCTGGACGGTGTTGACACCACCGAAGTCCACCTTGTTGCCGGCATTGGCGTTCTCGGCGAACTCCACGTTGCTGCCGACCTGGTGGGCGGCGGTGCTGGCGAAGTTGGCGGCGGAGTTGGCCTGGAAGGCGGCGTTGCTGGAGAAGGAGGTGCCGAAGGAGGCGGCGTTCTGGGCGCCAAACGCGGCGGCGTTCTGGGCTCCAAAGGAGGCGGCGTTCTGGCTACCAAAACCGGAGCCAAAGTTGCTACCGAAGGAGGAACCACTTCCTACGCCTGCACCAACGCCAACATCACCCAAGGACTCAACAGCCTGACCACCTGAAGCGCCAGCACTGGCACCTTCGGCGGACTCGGTGGCACCCACAGACTCGTAGGCGCTCTCCAAGTTGCCGGAGAGATCGGCAGATCCAGAAGCTCCTCCGTAGCCACCACCATAGCTACCACTTCCCGCGCTGCCTCCGTAGCCGGAATTCTTACGAGCCTGCTCAATCGCCTGCTGGTGGGCATTGTAGTGGCTAAGGATTTAAGCAATTAACTTAGTTACTTAAGGTACATTAAAAAACAAAAACATTTACACTGGTATCGAAAAAAATCTCTAAAATCAAAAATAGCTCAAATTCTTTCCTAGGAACAAATGAGAGAAATTATGAAAAATGTGTAAGTATATTTTATTTTGTTGATTTAACATCTTTTACTTTTGATTTTTAAAGATTTTAAGCCAGTGCCAAACCAAAACAGTCTAAACCAATCGATTTAATTTTGATTAAAATTTAAAAGTGCCCTGTCAGCCAATGGGGAAATTTCAATTTTTTGTAATTAAAAAAAGGAAAGATCTTTTACATTTGCCACAAAGCACTTACCGAGAGTGAAAACTGTCGCGTTTAGGTCTAAACAAATATTAAAATGATATAATAGAAATCAGACCATAAGTTCAGATCATTAATGAGCATTTCTTAGGCCAACTTACCTAGCCTGGAAATCTGTAAGTAAAAGAACGTAAAATTGGTTATTTATTTGTATATAATATTTAAGATATTTATAAATATAGGTTAAATTTGCTTTATAAATTCCCAATACTGGTTCAATTTTACTTTATAGGAAAAAAATGTACAATCCTTAGGCACCTTCTTATTTAAAATAAATTACGTTTTCCATATTAAAAATGATTATACCCCATAAAGATTTACAATCTCTTATCGCCACACGCGCTGTATTTTCTGAAAACTACACAATTTTCCAATAACGTTGTGTACATATTTCATTGAGAAAAAACCCGTGAGCCGCTGACGACACTCGGGTTCACCGGAACTGATAAGCAGCCTCAAAAATCGTGGGCCACATAAACAGGATCGAAAGAGCACTATTTACATCCTATATGTAATTTTCAGGATTATATGATTTTTAAAAATTTCACTACCTCCACAGACCACGCCCAGGCAAAGGGCCAAAATCAGAATTTTATTCATTTTGGTAATTTTTTGTTAACTTTCCGGAAAACACGTTCGACGCTCACGATTTAAATTGTACTAATGCAATCGAGCGAGTGGAGCTCCTCTTTAAAGGCTCAGACATCGATGGTGATAAGGTGATATACATATACAAATGTAAAACTCAGACTCAAATCAGTTCAAGATTTTGACCTAGAGAGGTTGACACTGATAGTACGACGGATTGAAGCTCGGAATTGGTGCAGAAAGCCGGGTGATGAAAGTTACTTGCGACATCATCGCCCTATATATAATATTTGAAATTCATTTTTTATGATCGGCGGAGCCTTGCTCAAGAACTGCCATATATTTTGTTGCCATGAACAACAGCATTATCACTTTTCCGATTACATATATATACAAATAAGCTTATAGGTGGAAGACAATGGTAATGAGCTCACTTTGAACTTAGAATCAATTGCGAACAAGGTAAACGAATATATAAAAAACCTTGAGCTCTAAAACGTATTCAGGAAGTAATAATTTCGCTTTCCGACGTATTTACAAAACTAGCTAGTTTTAACAACAGTCTGATCATGATTTGTTTGTTACAAATACTGCGTCTTATAAATTTTACAAAACTTCGAAGAATTGATGTACTCTAATCGATCAATCCCACCCTTTTCTCTTAGAATATCACTAATTGTTAGCTTTAGATAAATTAATAAATATATAATCAATCGATCGATCTTTTGTAGTACAACTTTTAGCATAAAAAACTAATTTAATAATATTTTCGATGTAAACAGTTTAATAAACCATTTTTTAAATATTTTTTTCAACAAACATTAAGAAGTTTAATTCACTTTTTAACAGCTGCCTCACTTACTTTTAGATCTCGGCTCCCGTTTCACTCAACCTCGAATAAAGAATACGATCTTGAAGTTTAGCCATTTTATATTGAATCGAATGTGATAAGATAGATCATTTCCGGTCACCTTTGATACGCTCATCCGTCCAAAAAAAAAGGAAAACATTGAATCAAAACAAATACAAATAACCTTTAAGACAATTCATGTACTGATTACGTATACTAGGTTTATTTATATTCGTACCTAATCAAATAAAATAATTTTATGCCACATAGGCAACGTCAAAATCAAGGTCAATGTACAAGTTTTGCATATTTTTAAGTCTATGCGAGTAAGAGAGAGAAAATAAACTTTCTAATTAAAGAAAGCTTTTTATTATAAACCCACTAGAAATCCCATTGATAAGAAAGTTTGTGAATATATAATAAAATACACGTATATTTATATATTTTTGTATACTTATTAATTCGGTTCGGTAAGCTTTGTTAAATGGGAGTAGATGTTAGCCTAGCCCACAAAAGGTGTCGGAAAAGGGAGTTCCGTCGATCTTCCTAAGAGTGCACCGAGTACGTGGTGACCTTTCCGTTGTCGTTGACCGTGGTCTGGGCTCCCCGTCGACTGGTTCCATCTCCGTTGCTATGACTGAAGGACGACACCGAAACCCCCTTGTAGCCACCACCGCCGCCGCCACTGCCTCCTCCGGAGCTGCTGGAACTGGAGTACGAGGAGCCGCCGCCGCCGCCGCCGCTTCCGCTTCCGCCTCCAAAGCGATTCACGATATTGGGAGAGGCCTGTAGATATCGGATTTTAATTAGTTTCTTCCGGTATTTTATCTTTGAAATTTATATTATAATTTGAAAATTAATAATAATGTTTTTTTAAGTAAGAAAGCCCTGTGCACTTATTTTATTGGACAAATTTAAGCTGGTAAAGTTAACCTTGAAATATAATTTTGGATTGGATGCTATTAATAAGTATATTCCTTACCGGATTGGGTGGGTTAATAAAGGCCGTCTGGCGATAGCCATTGGGTCCGATAGAACCCGAGGCGGAGGCATAGCTGGGTGCATAACGATGTGAGTTATAGGAACCAGTGCCTGATCCTGATCCTGATGTTGATCCTGATGCTGAGCTAGAACCACCTCTATAGCGATTCTGGCGAACTAGATTATCATGATAGGCCTGCTGGGCGGCAATCTGCTGCTGGATGCGACTGCGAAAAATAAAATATTTAACATCGTAGCCAAAAATCCTCTGTGTTAGTATTGGGATTAGTTAAGGACTAGCTAGTGGTAATTACATATCGTTGTCGTCGACTAGAGAAGCATCCGCAGATGCATAAGCATTGCCAGCCGTGGCCAATCCCGTTATAGCTCTACAATAGATAGATTCAAGCGTTAAATTAACCCTTAGCCCGCCATATCACTACCCAAGAACCCAAGCCAACGCATTCCCCGAAAAAGATCGATGCTCACTGTTGGTTGGCATAGTTCTGGGCCAGGATGTGGTTGGTCAGCTGCTGATGGAAAAGATACGGATCGATGATGCCAAAGTTGGGCGAGCTGCCACCATAGTCATCGTAGTCGTAGTAGCCACCTCCTCCACCACCAGATCCCACATAGCTGCTATGTCCAACGCCTCCCCCACCGCTGTTATAAGATCCCGTATAGCCACCGGCTCCTCCTCCACTGCTGGCAAATCCACCCGCGTAACCTCCTGCGTAGCCGCGACGTTTTCGGGAAGATCCAGCTAAAATGGAAAATATATTTATAAGTACTTGCACCACAGTCTAAAAGGAATTTTAACTAACTTCAGTTTCTTATTAATTTATTACAAAAATTTATTTTAAAAAACTCGTTTATACATATATGTATATACATATCTCTAATACTAATAATATTCTAGATTATCCTTATAAAATTTGTATCGTCTGCATTTCCGAAATTTAATGAATTATGAAATTAAAAAACATTTTAGAAACCCTAATCTTTTCATATATTCAGCAAAGCTTAAGCATATTCTATAATATGTATATTTCAACATTAAATTTAAGTATTTATGTATATTTCCGGAAGAGATATATTTATGGGCTTACTTACCCCCCGACGATTCTTGATTTAGGGCACTCATCACCACACAAATAAGCAGAAATTTCCACATCTTATTTAACTGGCATCTGCAAAATTGGTTTGAAGTTTTAGCTGGGGAAGTAAAAAATAAAACAAAGAATTCATTGAGAACTGGTTCGAAAAGTTTTGTAAATAGAACTTGTTTGGGACCAACGATGCATGTTTTAGGCCCTATTTATTTTGTGTGTGTAAGACTAAAGCGGAAACGGATTTACTCGCATATAGATGGCAAGATGACTTAGTCTTATGTAAGATAAGATCTGAAGTTCGCCCAGTAGCATCTGCTAATGACTGGGACTTGCTGGCTCATTGTTCCCCGATACTGATACTTTCACACCCATTGTCATTAGCAGCCCCAGGGCAGAATCCATAAATCCGCTTGCATAAGCCGGTAATCTGTGCAGGGTTAGGGGGATGCACTCCCAGTAATCGATTCTTGGATGCCTAACCGAGGGTCATTGGCTTCACTGCATCCCCCTCCTATTTCAGCCACGAAGCTTACACCCCATAGTCCGCAATTACAAGCATTTCATATTTATAATTCTGACCCGGCCCACAACTAATTGCCCTTACACGATTTTTCCATAATGAATTGGCGAAAAGAAATCACGGGGCCGGTTAGAGGGAGGAAGGCCTGGCCAACCGTATCGAAAACAGAAATCCCCGAAATGTAAATTAATGGATCTCCATATGACTATGTATATTATTGACTCAATTCGTTTGTTCGGCTGCCCAAAGAGAAAAAGAGACGAACGAACCGGTTCTCACTAATTTGTTCGGCGTTTAGAAATTGATATTGAATGTTTTGTTTCATTATTTTATTTTGTTTTTTCCCTCTTTGCCTGCCATCTGTATATTTTTGGTGCGCCATTTATATTTCAATCTGATTTTGTTTTTTTATTTTTTTACAGAAGTTTTTCAAGTTGCCACTAGAGTGGGGATTTTTTGTTTTCAACAATTGGGGTGTTCTAATTGAATGACTTTAAGGCCGAGTAACCGGTCTTGAAGATGATTAACAATTTTCTTATTTTTTTCTTGAGTATATAAAATATTAATAATTAACAACTTTTTGCACGGCTCTGTTAAAACAAAGGAACTCGTCTGAGGAGCACTCCCGATGAACGAACGTGTTTTGTTGTTTCGCCCCTGACTTTGATGATCACCGAACTGTTTCAATGCGAGCTACCATACAACATCATTTAAATCACGCTGATAAGGCGGACTAACATTGATCACTTTGTACCACACACCACATACACTTCCCAACACGGAACCAAAACTGCGCAACAAATTGGCAAAACTATAAATGTTATATTGCCGAGATCGCCGGGAGAGGTCTATCTATAGACAGAGAGTACCCAAGAGTTCTCAGTTGGCAAGTAGAGATACAGAAACACTGTGAGCACGACTCACTTGATTTGTTTATGATTCGATTCCTGACCAGTTTTTGTTTTTAGATCTCGCACTCTCCGTGCGATCTTCTTTACTAGACGACAACTGATCGACGTCTGAGTCGGAACAGGTGAGTCCAGGTCCTCTTATAAACGATCGGACACCTGTGGATTGGACCGTAGCAATGACGACGCTGCGATGACACCGACTAGAGAGTCGAAACGCCGCTTACCGAATCACTCGCCTCGGGGATTTATTATAAACGGGAGGCTCGTTGGCTAAATAATCATAATAAAAAAGTAGTTATTGTTTCTCTTCCCCTATTGAAAGCGTAACTTTTGATATAAGTCCTAGGTATTTATAAACCAGGTACTACAAATAATATTTAAAATTCTTTATGTTCTAGGAACTAAATACTCAAATAAAATAATCCATGATCTGAAAAGTTATTCTGCTTGTCACATCAAACTTTGATTTCTCTTTTTTTAGATTATGAAAAAACCTTTTCGCTAACTTGTCTTGAAAGAAATCAAGAAATTTCATAACCCTTGACTTGTATTTTGCGAAGAAATCATCCATTTGGGAAGAATAGTTTAGTAATTATGTTGGCCCCACTTAATAACCTATTTTTATTTAAGAATATATTTAACTCAATTGTATATGTTTTTATTCAACTCGTTTAACCGTAAACTAGTAACAGATTTGATCTTAAAATACTCGAATGTATGTTATAGTTGGTATATGATAATAAACCTTTTACTGGGCTCAATGAGAATGTACCTGATAACCAATGAGGCAATAACAATTACAATTAAACTTGGCATACAGTTCCCAAGTCAGGCACTTGTCTTCATCCTCCTCTCCTGAAAAACTAGGTGGGAATCCTCAGAGTTTCGACTGAGCCTGTGGTATGATGACGTCACGCCACCAAGAGGGTCGCTGGAATGCCCCCTCATTGGTCATAAATTCATTTTGCAAATTCTCATAGAGAAGACCATCCGCACGGGCAATCACCGAATTTAGAGCAAAATCGGGTGGCGAAATGGCATCCGCTATGCTCACAGCCACATCCTTCAGTTTCAGACAACTGTCCAGCAGAAGTTGACGCACTGCAGCCGAGAAATCCCGGCCAGCCGCAAAGCCACCCACATAGAAGGTGGTCATGTGCTTCTCCAGCAGCCACATGGCATAGATATCGAATAGCTGGCGAAGAACCGAGGCATAAGGGGCCTCCACCTTCAGTGTGCTGACATGATCCACATATCGTGTCAGGGCATAGTACTCGGCATAGGCCAGGGACAGTTCCCGTGCTCCGGCCACCTGGGAGTTGTTCCGCGCCTCAAAGCGACTGCTTCCCGCTGCCAACTGGCCCTCGATGTGAGCCGTGGTCTGGGCCATCAGGTGACACAACAGCCACTCGTAGCACCTAAGGGAGACTAAAAAAGGTATTGTTAAGATTAATAAACACAGTAAAAAATAAGTCATTTTCTACAAAAAATGGCCATTAAGAAGAAATAAGATCTAGTAATTTCATTTAATCAAGGAAAATAAATGATTGACTGATCTAAAAAAGTTCGGAATTACTTTTTTTTCAAAAAAAAAGCCATAATCATAATTAAATCCATTTGTCTTAAAACAAACAATATTGCTAAAAAAAAAAAAAAAGAAATAAATTTTTCAGGCATTACAAATAATGTTAACCTTCTGAGAATTAGTTGATCGAAATAAAGATGTTGGAAAACATTTTTTGAAAAAAAAAAAACGCTTTAATCTTATAGTTTATAGACAAACCGGAAGACAGTTAAGGTAAAAGTAAATTTAAAATAGTAAACATTTTAAAGACGATTAAAATGCATGGAAAATTGCTGAATTTAAAGGTAGATTTTGTTAAAAACCTTTGGGAAAATATGGTTTCCGGTTAGTAATAAATATTTTTAGGAATGTAAGGCTTTAAGTATGTTCATAATTTAGAGACAAACAGCACACAGTAATTACAAAAAAACCTTTTAGGCATACAAATGGAATGGCTTATTTTGTAATTACCCTTAGAAACTTATTCACTTACATTGCCAGCTGGATATCGGTGTCTTCTGCACCAAGGAGGAATAATTGAGGGCCAGCAACTCCGTTCGGTTTTCTAGGAACTTAACACTGCCAATGGGCGTCTCCAGCTGTTTGGCGCTCCACTGGCGGAGCAGCCAGTTGGATGCCTGTTGACCCAGCACATTGTTGTCGCCCTCGTAGGTGCACAGGGGATCGTGATCGGTGCGCATCTTACCCAGTTTAGCCGCTGCCAAATAGCCATGTCCTCCGCACGCTTCGCGGGCCTCCTGGATGGCATCCCTAGCTGCCCACGTGATCAGAGGCTTCGACGAGGAGATCAGCGCATGGATCTCGGCAGCATTCTGGGTCTGAAAAAAAACTCTAAATTAAATTGTATACAAGTTAAGGTACTAGGATAACCCACCAAAATATCAAATCCATTTGAATCCGCCTGGGAACGGGCTATGATCTCCATATAAGTGATTGTCAGCTCTTCAGTGGCGATTTTTTGGACGCAGGCAGCCGCCAAATAGGGGAAAATGCGATATTGCTGGGGATGGTAAAAATATAAATTAATATTTAGCAAATAAAAGTATCTTTTAGGTTTAAAAAATTAAAAGTCTGTCATTTTTGAACATAAGTTTTTGCTTGATAAATTCTTTTTAAATATTTCAGTGCAATGAATATTTTATATGAATTCGCACTGCATTATTTATATATCGGTTCAGATGGTATAACATTATTGATCAAAAGAATTCCAATAATATTTGCCCCTATTTTTTTTTAAATTGAAAGCAAACAAATTTTTTTTTTAGACTGGGAAAAAATAACAAAGATATAACACTTAATTTTTAAATTTATAAAAGGTGTAAGAACTCTTCTGAAAATCCACAAAGAACTTAAGCCCGCATATTTAGCAAAACTTTAAGATTAAAAATCCCTATTCAAAATATAAATTTAAAAACTATTTTTAAAGACATTACTTACATGCAGTTGGTACTCTAGGATGGCCATTTCCTCGCCTTGGCGCTCCGGGCCAAATTGCTTGCGCACGGCGGCATATCGAACTGCGATCACAGCGGCACTACACAAGGTATTAGCCGATTCCTGCATTATGCCGATGCGACCGGCGGAGAAGCTTTCGAGTGCCGCCCCAAGGACTTTCCCGGGCTCGGTGAACACACTTTCGTAAACCCCCTCGGGCGTTACGTCACTAGTGCGATTGAGGAGATTGTCGCGTGGAATACGATAATTGGTGAACACCACAAATCCATTGTCAATGCCATTTAGGCCACATTTCTCGCCAATATCACCGACCAGAACTCCCGGATAGGAGAGCAGTGTCTTGGGATCGCGAATGGGAATCAGGAAGCCATGCAGCCCATGATTCTGACCATCGGCTGTGTACAGATTGGCGAATGTCATGGCCACCGTGGCCGTCTTTCCCAGATTTCCCACCCAACACTTGGCTGCCTCGAAGTCCGGCGTGTTGATCACAAACTCCTGGGTGCTGGGATCATAGGTGGCTGTCGTTCGGATGCTCTTCGTGTTGCTGCCATGGGAAAGTTCCGTGATGGCCAGACATGTGATCACTTCCCGATTCCACGCAGCCTCGATATATTTCGTGTGCTTTTCGGTGCCCATTGCACGGATGGCATTGTTGAATAGACCCACTCCCAAAGCAATCTTCACGGATAAACTCGGTGAGTAGCAGGCCAGTGCCTCGTTGATGTACATCAAGTACTTGGTCTTGGCCGAGAAGCTCAGGCGCTCGATTTCCTTGGGCACCAGGTCCAGGTGCTTCATGCGATTCACCTGCATGGCGCACAGGCGCTTCTGCTCGTCCATGGGCAGCGTGCGGGAGGGGTGAGCGAAGAGGGGATCGTTCTCCAAACGACGCCATACTTTGTACTGCAAATTGAAAGGGGGTTCGTCAATAAGAGTTAAATTTTCCGAGTTGTATATATATTGTAAAGAGGTTTCTAACGAAAGTTAATATTTTTTAAACATGAATATACTACTAAAGTTCTATTAAAATAAGTGTTATAATTGTTTAGTTCTAGGTCCTGCAACTAATTTTAAAAAATGTACTTGGAGTATGAAAGAACAACAGAACTTTAAGTCTCATTTACTTTATCAAAATGTAATAACCTGAGTTGTGAAATTACTTCGTCACAGATGCACTTTATATTGTTGCTAGGCACAGTGCAACAAATTACTTTCAAAAATTCCTCAACTCGTTATTAGATAATGACATCAACTGACGTTACTGACTCTAGAGAGTGAAGCCAAAGCTCAACAACTTGATAAGTTCTAATGTAAGGTAAAAACCCTCCAAATTAGTTTCACTTTTGCGATCCACTCACCTTAATTCGCAATCCCTGCTCCTTTTCAAATATGAGGCGCAGTCGCTTCCAGTCGAAATTGGCCCTCTTTCGATATGCGGCTAATGGTCCGCCGCTGGGAAGATCGGGAATAAAGCTCGTGTCCTCGCTGGCCATTGTGTGATTTTATTTGATTTGATTTCTGGCAACAAACGGAAGTGGAAAATTTAGCGGATCAGTGGGGCTGTCGACGATCGAGAGGCTACAGAACGAATGCGCTGTAAAGCCAATGCTTAAATGGCCCAAAGCGACCAGACACACAGCCAACAAGTGGAGCACTCGAACTGACTGCATTATCTGCAAGCGTGTAGAACTGAACAACTGAAGCCGTAGAAAGGAAAACCCTCAAGATGCGGTGGTTTAGGGGGCACTGTACAGCGGCTAAGCTGTTTTGCAGCCACTGTTCACAGTTAACAAGGAGGAATTACAGCCCTTTTAAACTTTCTACCAAGTGGAGTCTCGAACCACTGGGAATAGTCTTAGTGTATCTTAGAACCCAAAATGAGAACAGATTAAAATGGAGTTCAAAGATAAAGAGGTTGAACAAATGGCGCCTTAATTCAAAAATATAGAATACTATTAGCTTTATAAAAGTGACAAAACATAAAAGGAAGAAGGGATAATAGAAAAAATAGGAGAAGAAAAGAAGGAGAAGGTCGCAAGGAACTTTAAAAAGAAAAAAACAAATTTGCGCAAATAGTATTTTTTTTACGCTAAAAAAAATAAAACAATAAATTAAAAGCAAAAAAACCAACGTTAAAAAAAAGTAGTTAAATAACACTCTAAAAACATTTTTGGGTTTTTAAATGTAACCAGATTTTGGACTTCACGTGGGGAAATATATAATAAAATACATCTGTCAAATGTCATTGATATACCCCAAAGTAAAACTCTCCCTATAAACTGGACAGTATAAATTCCGGGAAACACTTTGAGACCAGACCATGTCCACGCAGTGGCAGAATGAGGTGGTGCGGATTACGCGCCAAGTGAAGCGCAATCTTCCGCATCGGAATTTCCGTGAGATCAACTTTGATCGCGAGGCGATTAGGGAAACTATAGCTCCACTGACCTACGACCAGGCGCGTAGGATCAAGGGTCCCGTTTACGAGGCCCTGGAGGATGAGCTGCGCCGAGCAGGATGCACCATGCTGCCGGAGTTCCTGCACTGCCTGGCCACCAAGGAGCAGGCACTTTTCGATAGTTTAAATATTCGAGAACGGCTGGCCGATGACTCGGAATTGCTCTACGGAATGGTGGATCGACTTCGGGATGCCGAACTGGCCGTTTGCCGGAACAAACACCGGGGACTCAAACAGTGTTTCGCCCTTTTTTTTGAGACCATGCAGCTGCTGGAACCCTATCGCCAGAAATACGCATACGCTCTGGTGGCCCTCAATGAGCACATCATTTCGCTGTGCCGAAACATCGCGGGTCAGGAACGGGAGGCCGCCGAATACATATCGCGCATCTACTACACCTACGCCCTGTATCTGGTGAACACGGGTCAGAGGACCTCGGCCATCAACTACCTACAAATAGCCATGGATCTGGTGAGGGGTCACGTCTGGACCGCCGAGGTGGGAATGCCCGCGGGAAGCCTCACACTCCACGAGCTGGTGGCCCAGAAACTGGCCAGGCAACTGCTCATCCAGGGCAAAGCCATTGTGCGTCAGCATCCCGAGGATGCGGTGGCCATGGCCCGACGAGCCACAGTCCTTATAGCGGAAAGTAAGTACTACTTTTGGGAAAGACAGCTAATTTGCTTTATCATTCATAAAAATCATGTTTTGGAACTAAAATTTTTATAGTACGATCGCGTTTTATAAAAATTGGATAGTAATTAGAAAAATACAGCCATACAGCCATGGAACAAAAGTTGTGATATCATGAAATATCAAAATCACAAAGGCTTATAAAACTATTTCCACATTATAAATAGGCGTAACCATTATAGCCTTGTAAATGGTTTATGATTTATTTATGGTATTGTATTTGGAAAGTAAGGAATAGAAAAACTCAATATTTGAAAACTTTGATGATTAATTTATGGTATTGTATTGAATTTTGGAAGGTAAGGAATAGAAAAACTTAATTTTTGAAAACTTTTTTGATCACCTATTATGTCAATTAAAAGGTAAAAATATACTTTCAATCGCTACCACGTTTCTAAACTTTTCTCTTTTAGTTGGCAGGGATAAGAACATGGAGATCTTTTGTGATACCTTCCTGGAGCGGGCCTACTTCCTGATGGAGATTGGCAACTATAACTCGGCTCAGCAGTGTCTAGACCAGATCCGCACACAGATCTTGGCCTGCACCGAATATCGCTTTGTCAAGCTCAACATTAAGTACTACTTGTTCCAGGGCCAATGCTCGGTGATGTGAGTAGATCATATTTTTGGACCCATCTATACAGCATAACCTTCTCTTCCCAAATAAGCTTTGAGCATGTGGACAAGGCCATCTCGTGTTACAAACGGGCTCTCCGATTGTCCCGTCTTTACACCCATCGGGATCTGGAGGCTGAGATCCTGCTACATCTGGGAAAGATCTTCGCCAAGGACACCCAGATGACGAGTATTGCCAAGAAGTGCTACGAGCATGCCAAGCGCATTTACGTGGACTTTAACGATCAGCACAGCCGCAAGATGGCCAACTATTTGCAGGCCAAGTTAATGGCCGACGAGATCACACCGCTCTACATGGCCATGCTGAAGTCTTCTACTACCCGGTACTGTGCCTTCTTCAATCTGCGTCAGTGGAAGAACCGCTGTCGTCCCTTCTGGAAGCGACTGGGCGACGAGATCATTAAACAGGAATCGGACAGCATCTACTGCCTGCTGGATGAGGAGAAGGAGGATCCTGGTCACGACGTGGCCCTTTACGATGATGTCGATCTCAAGACATTCAAACTGGCGGAGGGAGATATCTGAGTTTGCCCTCAGTTCTTAGTTAAGAAAATGTAATTGTTCAACGCTAATTATGTTTAATTAAAATGGTTTCGGCAAGCAATGCTTTTTTTTATTAGGAGGTTGTACGAAAATTAAACAAAAGAAGATATGGTAATGGCTTTCCCATTTGTTTATGACAAGAGGCTATTTTTTAATATGCGTCAGCCGAAATATAAATTATGCTCAATACGTTAATAAAATCATTCTGCTTAAAGAGGCAATCATTATCATATTTCAACTTGATACTTGCCAAAAAAAAATGTAGCTGTTATTTCAGCTTTCTAAACTAAACATAAATTGTTTACCATCTCACTAAGGATCTTTGCACGCTTCCAACAAATGTTCCTTGGTCATCGAAAATTTTGGATTCCCCTTGTTGAGTGTTGCCATAAATGCCCAAGAGTATAAATATATCGATGATTATCAAATCTTGAGCGGAATACTTGAATTTGTTTACGCCCGATATCTTGATCACTCATTCCCCCTGCATTGCAATCCTATCTTGCCCGGTCATTCAAGTACTCAGAAGCACTGAAGATAAACCGATCATGAGGTAATATGTATTAAAACGGTGTATGATCATTTTTCACTCAACAAACCGAAAACATCAAAGGAAAATATCAACGATACGGATAATCTATAAATAATTAGAATTCTAGTGGCACACATTTCGAAAGTATTTGACCGTCTTATCTTTTTGTGTTCCATTATGCGTCAACTTTTTTTGTGGACCTTGAGTTAGCCAATTATGGAATTCTGTGAAATCGATTTAATATGATAAGGTAAAAATTGGTTGTTAAATAAAAATTGACTTGTCAGTTTATAGATAGCAACAGCTTATCTCAAAATTTCACAAAATAATAGAATCACACTTAAAACTTAAATTATTGAGCAAAATATGAATATATGCAAAAAAGATGTCTGTATTTCTCTATAGAACATTCTTTGCCAAGAGTCAACCATTAGAAGTATAGTACTTTTTTAGAGTCAACATTTTAGTAAATAATAAGGTAAAATACATAAAAAAACCCATAAAGACCATGTTTCGTTTTCGTGCACAAAAAAAGCTACTCCAAATGGTCGATTCGGTGTCAACCATCGGCCAATTAAAACAATTAGCGATAATTATGCCAGAAACCCCACAGTCACAGCGATAACTTCTTATTGTCTAGGTTCGGGAACTTTTCGTTGACAAAATGTTCGAGAGAGGGACCATAAACCGGTTTTTATGGATTTCTCAGAATGTTTACTGCTACACTTAATTAGCACGACTCAATTCGCAATCTCAGATATGTACTCGTACCCAAGATTCCCCCACAATCTAGACTTTTGCGTAATCACGAGGGGACCACGCTCCACTCCAAATTGTTTGCTTGCACTCGAGATCTTAAGGAAAATATGTTATGTGAATTGTAGATAAATTATAATTTTAAACGGAAATACAAGTTGATAACCGTAAAAAAGGGGCGTGTTGGTGTGTCATCAAACTGAAAGGGTAAATATGTGAATGGTACAGCATAAATCCAAACAAAAACCAAAACTGATAAATGGCAACAGTTGGAGCAGCACTGAACAGCTGGCTGGCCAGTGGCGGAAAAACTTTTGGCTTACGTGATAAGCCCGCTCGAAATTTGTGGCCAGGTGAGGATGTAATGAGCAATACCCATTAGTCCACCCAATAGCCGTTGCGTGCCGATGGAAATTGTCACAATTTTGTTAGCCAACCACCCTATCAAAGCGGGCGGGGGTGTGCTATTGTCAGTCAACCTTGAACATGAAAATAGCCGGGCTTTTATTTTTGTATACATATAGTACTCTCTCCCCTTTTTAATCAATCAAATTGGAGCTTGGCGACCCGAGTGACTTTTTTAAATGAATTACAATGCTATTTGCCAGCGGCTAATTTCACTTTTATTTACACACACCCCAGACAAATTAGCACACAATCAACACTCCGGCACAGAGGGCCCTCCATTGTGGCCAAATCAAGACCAATTGAGGCTGATATCATGGCGCAGTGAAAGGTTCTATAAAGAATTAACTTAATTCTATGATTCACTTAACTTTAAATGTTTTGTTATACAAAATGTCAACACTGATAGAGGAAAAATTCAACAAAAAATATAATTCCACAATTAATCATATCGTTAAAATAATAATAATTAGCTCATAAAGAGGGGTTCGGTTTGATATAGTTTACTGTTTATGAGGAAATATATTAAGCCATAAATGGGGTTAAGCAATATTAATTATCTTTTTCCAAGTAATAAGTCTCAGGTAGTTCCTAGAAATTAATTAATATTAATTTTACTTTCTAGTTCTATTGGGCAAATCCAATGTAGAGCTTTCACTGTACCGCCAACACACCCTGTATGCGATTTGTTTGGCTAAGGACTCGGTTTTGGTTTCTGCCCCTGGCTCACATTACATCACCGCGATGACAACAAGTAGGTAGGAACGGCAATGTTTTGGGCCCAGAAGGCGGGAGAGAGTAAAGTCAACCGAATCGGAGTCATAAACTCTGGGTTTTGACCACGTGAGAGATGCTCTCGCTGCATCTGTATGCGAAACACCAACCTGTAGCGTTTCTTTTGACCCGCCCTTTTCTATTTTTTCTTTCTCGCAATTGAATTTCACTACGATTAGATCCGAAAATGGAAAACTCTTATCCGGCTGAGCTCACAAAATATTGGCAATTAAACAAAAATATACATACACACCCACGCACGCGGAATAAAAAGAGCAGCGCGGAGAACAACAACAACAACCGGCACACGACCACGAGAAAATTGAGAATCGGGGAGCCAAAACTGGAGAATTGGGGAAAATACGAACCGACACGGCCAACTGATGGGAAGTGAATGAGCTGAGCGGAGCAGAGCGAGACTAACGCCGCCTGATTCATGACGGTATGGGTACCCTACGGTCTTTTATAGGGGCGAGTCCCAAAGGCACACAGAGAAAAAACTAATGCATATAGAAATTCTACTTATTTTAATCATTTCAGCAGATGTGTCATACTGTTTTTCACAAAATATAGTACAAAACCCTAGTGAAAAGTAGAAAACTCACCACTGTTTTTAGTTTTACAAGTTTCAAATCGGGTTTAATATATATTTTAAATACTTATTTATATTCACTTACGATAAGACCGTGTTCAAACCCACAGCTGCCCCCTGAATATTTTTAAATTGCCAGCTTAATAAGCGTTATTTTAATATTTTAATATCATGTTTAACTGTTAAAAGTATAGTTAATAAGCTAAGAATTTGAAATTATAGTATCTTGTTCCGAATAATGTTATAAAATGAATGCGTTATCTTTTGATAACCATTTTTTTCGGTGTACCCTCTCTCTATGTTGACTGATGGAGGGGGTGTTTGAAGGGTGTGGGGAGTGGGTCGATGAGAGCTGGCCAAGATTCCTCTTCTTCTTCATGTTCTGCCTCAATGTCAAGTGGCTGTGGCCAGAGCGAGAAGGCAACATGACAGTTGTTAACCGGCCGGCATCGTTGTACATCTGTATATGTATCTGAGTATTGTATCCAAAAGATACGGGAGAGAGCGTAATGCGAAGATGTTAATGCGCGAACAAGATACACAAGGCAAAAACTACAAGGTTCTTGTCTCGGCTAACGGCCTTATCAAGACTGTCCTTGGCCTTCAATAAATTATTATATTGTAGATCTAGAATATTCTTTAATTATAAGGAAAAATTAATACAAAAAAATGTTTATTATGTTCTAATGTGCTTTTAATGTTCTTACCTTATGTATTGAGCTACGCAAATTTTTATTTTTGTCTTTTAATAATTTCATATTTGTTTTAATAGGTACCCTGAACTACCGTTCAGCGCTTTATAGGCAGTGAATCACTGCCAAAAGATCATTTCATCCCTGCACAAAACTGACACAAACTCATCACCCTTTCAGCGCTAACTATAGTTAGATACACAGATTAACACATTTGAAAAACAATCTTCTGCACCATTTAAAAACTTTATATGCTTAGAGCCTATAAGTATACCACATCATTATTCTATTTCGGGTCGGAGTGTTCTCCTTTAAGAATTGAACTAAATTTATGAAATATTTGTAGAAAGCTTTCCCCCAGCTTTTCCCGAAACAACCATTTCCGCCTGAGAAAGTCCAGCCCTTCAGATAGGCAACACAAAATAAGAACTATTGGCTTTATCATATTTATTTATCATTCTGTTCTGTGGTCTTTTTCTTGTCGAACGAGTAGCAATATCAAAGTGACCAACATAATTGATTAGGATTAGTGTCTGCTAATTGATTACGATAGCATTCTATTATCGTATCCTGCTCGAATGGCGTTAATTAAATTACTAAATTGACTCGGTTATACAAAGCACAGATGCACGGTAAGTAAGTGTACGGGTGTTTTGGGGCATGTGCGGCGTGTGGGATAGGGTTCGTAAATCGTATAAAAAACAGTATTATATCCATAACTAGGGTTTGGCAGCTGCGAATTCATCCGAATATCTTGTCGAAGCAGGTGTGGCAGTACGGCTTGTCCTTTTGCTCCTTGAAAGTACCCTTGTTCAATTGCTTGAGGCAGAAGGCGCAGACGAAGTGTTCCGGATGGAATTTCTTGAACATGGCCGTAATGCAGCGTCCGGTGATGGGTTTCGAGCAACCGGCGCACAGTGATCCTCGCTTAGCATGGTAATGCGTCTCACAGTACGGTAGGCCCTCGTGGTCGAAGAACGATCCACCCTGGAAGGGCTGTCGGCAGTCCTGTGGGTGACAAAATCAGAGAAAATATTATTATATTATGAAGTGAAATAATATGTATAGGTTTAAGATACTTAAAGCTTAACAAAACGAGCCCAAGAAGGTTGTTTCTTGACACTTGATTATTAAAAAAAATAATAGAAAACCTGTTTTATACAATTATATTTTTTTAACAACCCAGTATATAAAGACTAGAAATAGTTACTGCGCCTCAAGATCAGAACTACACCCTTCTTGGCACTAGATTTACGTGTGATTATGTGTGTTTCGCAAATATATGAGAGGTAGGAGAATGATGTATTGTGGGCCAAATGGCTGTGCAGCCTCCGTCTGAGGCTAATTACGACCATAAATTATCATGCATATAGCATGACGGACCAGCAAACCGATCGAGAGTCGACAACATAATATTCGCTGTGCAAAATTTTACGCCTGGCCTGAAAAACCTAATTAGAAATTTGTTAAACCAAAGGTGCGCATGGAGGACTTTGATACCCTGGCCACACTGTGCGCCGTGTCAAGCTAATTGGAAAACAAAGATTGTACATTTCAAAAAACAAGATTCGAGGAAATTTAAATATGATAAATATATGAAAGAAGACTAGCAAAGACATTTGTTTCTTTCAGTTATTCATTTTTTTGGGGGGCTTTTGGAAAAACATTTCGACAGCAGCAAGAAACAGCAACAATTGTCTAAAGACAATAACATTTTGCGCACGCTTTTGGCCAGCTTCCAAAATGGGGGGTATTGGAAAAAGGAAAGAGGGCAGAGGACAATATCATCCAACCGGCAACAGCAATCGAAACACAAGGCAAAGGATCATTGAGAACGTGATATCTGGGGGCGAAAACCTATTTTAGTGTTTCACCACCTTATACAAATCAATCATTCCATAAACAACAGGTGCAACAATTTCCCCTTAAAGATTTGGTTATTTTTCTTTGTTGTTTATATGAAAGGAAACTCATAAGTGGGGCAGCAACAACAAAAATTAAAACAAATAATCAATATCGATATGAACTAAAAATAAACCAAAATATATATATGGCACGAATTTCGCTTCAGTCAATGGAGAATTTCAAATATGTATTTTATATAGGTATTTAAATGCTGATTGTAGAACTGCATTCCAATAATAGAGCTATTTTTGGCTACACATTTTGCAAAACCGACTCAGTCCAGTTGACTGAGATTGACGAATCTATTTAAATTTAGTTGGTCCAATAAATTCAATTAACACCCTGGGGTGCCCATTAAAGCCTGGCAATAAACAGTGCGAATGTTATGTCCATTATAGACAGATATATAGTCGAGTACTACGCGAAGCATATAAATGCTGACTACAGCGTCAGCAGCGAAAATAGACTCAACTGGTAGAAATAACAGCTTTCGCTGATCTAAAATCGAATCTAATTCACAATATTGTAATTTGTTTATCAACCGGAAAAACAGCAACAAGAACAGAAAACTGCGGAGGTGGGACCTCAACCGACACATGTGTCAAGGCCAGCAAACTGACACTGACCTTGACACGAGGTCTGGTTGGGTGGCTTGGGGTGGGTGGGCGATGCTCGAAGGTCACCGCCACCTTGAAAAGATACAAACACTTTTCAACTTTTCCATTCCCCGTTTTATGTTCTTGTTTTTTTGTTGGTTGTTTTGATTTTTTTTAATTTTTGTGTGTGTTGTTCTTTAATGTGTAATTATTAAAATTTTATTTACAAAAACAAATTACAATATTGTTGGTCATTTTCATAAATGATTTTAAATTTAAAAGTACCTATAAACTTAAGCCTACAAAAATTGCATAGAAAAAGTTCAACAAGTCGGGGCTTTCAGGGGCAGGGGGCAAAAAGACCATCATAGAGGGCTGGTTTTCAGGGACTCGAGACTCATTTTCCCCAGCGGCACCTGCCCCCCCTTCGAAAAAGGAGCGGGCCAGCTGGGGCAGAGCGCACAAAAAAGGGGGTTAAAAGGGGGTTAGATTGCTGTTGCCACTGCCGATGTTGCTGCTGTGCGTGTTGCTGTTGTGTATGTTGCTGCTGCTGTGTGTATGTTGTTGCTGTGTTGCTCCTAGACCCGCAACGAAAATAGCCCCCAGACGGACGGCGGGCAGCTGTTTTTTCGGCTGCGAGTTCTTTATGACGCCGATAATAAAAAAAAAGTGGCACGCAGCTAGATACAAAAATGTATCTGAAGCCGCTGCCACCGGGTTCTATTTTCGTTTGGCTGCTGAACTTCAGCAACAAGTTTGCTGCTGCTGCTGCTGTTGTTGTTGTTGGATCACTCCTACTCCTCCTCATCGACGCCCACGCACTGTGGACAGACGGGCTTGCCCTCCATGGCATAGAAGGACTTGCCGCGAACGGCCTTCTTGCAGTCCTAAAGGATAAACGTGATCGGGATGAGCGATTAAATGGTGTTCATATGATCAAAACTAGCGAGGGGAAAGTGCTAAAAGAAAGTCTCCAGGAATATATAAACAATTTCTTTATAATATTCCATTGTTCTCTGGTTATAGTTAGACTTTGGAAACATATCTATATTAAACTGGCACATTTACGTTCAAAAAATCAATAGGGTTTTTGAAATGGTGATGTAAATGTAGAATAATGAAACCCATATGTATTGACCTTTTGAAGAGCAACTTAAATGTGACAGTGAAAACTCTCTAACTTCTGGGCGATAAGAAAATGACATTAATTCTGGATAGTTATGGCATATTATTTTATGACTTAGGAACCTACCCTGCAGACGAAGCAGTCCGGATGCCACTGCGAGTTCAGCGCCGAGATGTAGTTCTCCATGATGGCCCGGTTGCAGCCATTGCACTTCGGGGCGAACATCTCGAAGTAGTCGTTGCGGCAATATGGTTTGCCATCGCGCTCATGGAATCCCTCCTCGCCGAACTGCTGGCCGCACTGGGCGCAGAAGAAGTGCTCCGTGTGCCAGGTCTTGTCCAGCGCCGTGACGCACTTGTCCAGGATGGCGCCATTGCAGTAGGCGCACCGCGGGCTAAACAGATTGTGGTAGTCCGGTTCGCAATAGGGGAAGCCGTCGCGCTCGAAGAAA